CAGTATGGCAGGCAAGAAGTTGAGGCTACTGGCCCTGGGTGCCCCCTCCCTGCCCCCAACCCCGAGACAGCCTGTAACTGCAGCGCCAACAGCCACCGTGGCCTCCATCTGATAAGACTTATCTGCTGCCCCAGGGCAGGCCGGAGCTGGCGTAAGCCCCAGTGGGGTGCGCGGGGTGTGCGCGGCTGAATGAGTGTGCCCCGTCTCCCGCCAGCCCTAGCCTAGCTCTCATGCTAGGCCTGGGTCTGTAAGGTGTCCTGCAGGCTCTGGTTCAGATCCTGCCCAACCTCTCTCAGCCTTACTCCTCTCACCTGCAAAATGGGTACAGCGACATCCCTCTTTTCCCTGTGGCCAGGGGTACTCATGTATATAAAGGTAGAGCCTACATTTGGCTGAGAACACAGTAGGGACTTTACTCACTGACAAGCCCAGTAGAGTCATGAAGCCTATCTGCTATTTTCATTTATCTTGGTTTCAGCCCATTTTGCTTGGCAGGACATTGAAGTCCGTGGAAGCCCAAGTCAAGAGGGGTCCAATAATCCATTGAGTAGGCAGGTAAGGTGGAGGAGGGCCCCCAGTGCCCAGGAGGTGCCCCACAAGCAGGGGGCCTGCCCCCTCCCCCGACTGCCCCACCCACTGGGGCATCAGCCACTCCCTGGGGAGGAGGGAGGAGGGAGAGGGGAGGGAGGAAGGGAGCCTCAAAGGCCAAGGCCAGCCAGGACACCCCCTGGGATCACAGAGCTCACCACATCCCCAAGGCAGCTGAACCCTCCGCACCAACGAGCCCAGGTCAGTCTCAGCCCCCAAGGAGCCCCCAGCAAGCGAACTTTGGGCCTGCCGCCTCTAACCTCATGGCTAACCCCCCCGCCCGCTCCCGCTCCCCAAACCCACTGCTGGTCCCCGAAGTGTTGGCCACTCCGGAATCCCTTCATAGCTCTTCAAACCCACCTCTGACTTTCTAGCCCCCATCCCTACCCCCAAATTACCCCCAACTCCCCTCTCTACCATGACTCCCATCACTCTTCCTAAAATATCTGTATCCCCCTGACCCCTTAAAGCCATTCCCCATATCCCTTAGGTCTGCCTCCTCTAAACACCAGCTCTACCCCTACAATTTCATCCTCCAAAACCCTATCTCTAACCCAAATCTGGTCTCCATTCATCCAAACTTGTCTGTCTCCATGGGTTCTCCCTGAAATCTCACTTTTTGCTCTCCTACGACTATTTCTACTCCCGGCCCCCTTATCTATTCCACTACATTTTTGTCACTGCCCTAAACTCTGATTCCCAAAACTTGTCTCTGATCTGCTGCACTGAGCACCATTCTCTCACCCCATCGCGGCTTCTCCAACCCCATATTTGTTCCCTATGACTTTTCTCTAATCTCCCAAACCCATTTGCGTGCCAAAATACTTTTGTCACTCTAAACACCATGTCTACTCCCCTCAATCTGTTCTGATGCATGATCTCCCCTAACCCCTATCATCAGCCCTAAAATGTGTCTTGTGCCCCCGAATATTTCTGGCCGCAAACTTTTCTCTATCCTGAATTTTATTTGAGCTTCCCAAACTCCTCCTGTGTTTCCATAACCCACCACTAATCATCAGCCACATTTTCTGTCTCCCCAAACGAATCTTTGACTACTAAACTCCATCCCTGTTCCCGTAAAACCCTTGGATTCTGTCCCTTGGCCCCCCCCCAAACCCTTTTCTGTGGCCCTCAGAATCTCTGGTCCTCAAACTACATCCATTTGCAATTCTCAAATTTCATCTGCAATTCCCCAACCTCATTTATGCTTTCCTAACCTATTTCTGAACCTTGAATGTGTCTCTAAATTTCCAAACTTGTCTGTGCTCCTCAAAACTTATATCTGCTTCCCCCAAACTCTGACTGCATCCCGAACCTCTGACTCCTCAATCCCATAGCTGATCCTCAAACTCCATTTCTAGCCTCCATGCCCCATATCTGCACCCCCAACCCTACCCCTGCTGCCGTCAGTCCCACAAGACCCTCCTTTGAGGGCTAGAATGAGGCTATTACCTTGGGTGAGGGGCTGGGGCCAAGGGAGAGTGGAGGTGCCAAGCTGCTGCTGCTGCCACTGCCGATGGGGCAGCAACTCC